AACTTAGAAAAACAGAATAAACTCAAAGAAAACAGAAGGAATAAAATGTTTGGTAGGAGCAGAAATCAATGAACTAGAAAAACCCCCAACAGAATAAGCAAAGCCAAAATTGATTTGCTGGAAAGACAATAGTGTCAGCCAAGTCTAAAAAAGACCTAAATAAATATCAAAAGTGAAAAAGAGACAACTATTGATGGCTACAGAAAATTTAAGGAGACTGCAAACAACTTTTTGGCAATTAATTTTAAAACTCACACAAAATAGGAAAAATTCTTGAGAAGTTACTTTATTTTTAAAGGTAGTCAACTATGTAGAAACCCAGAGCAAAACTGTACAAGGCAAAGACACTGGCCTAGTAAACTAAAAATCTTCCCACAGGGAAGATTTGTCAGCCCAAATAGTTTCACTGTTAAGTTCCCAAAAGAAAAAGGAAAAAAAAAACAAAAACAAAAACAAAAACAAAGAATTCCAATTTCACATGAAATATTCCAGAATTAGAAAGAGGACATTCTCTGCTTACTGGATGAGCATAATAACCCCAACGCTAAAATCTAGAAGGGAAAGAAATGAATAATACTTTACTCTTAATCATAAATACGGATACAGAAATCCTACATATGTAATAGAAAATCACCTTGAGCAATGCAGGAAAGATAATACCTAACAGACAAGTTGGGTCTATCACAAGAATTCAAGGTGGGTTTTGTATACATCAGCGAAACATACCATATTATTATAGGAAAAAAATCGTTTGTTCATCTCAACGGTTGATAAATTTCAATACTGCTTCATGTTAAAGAACTTTTAGTAAGCTGGGGCTAGAAACAAAAACCTTTTGGCTTAATAAAACTGAATAAAAAAGCCAGCTGTGGTGGCACAACCCTGTAATCCTGGCACTCAGGAGGCTGAGGCAGGAGGATCGTTGTGAGTTTGAGATCTTTGTTCTACAAAGTGAGCTCAAGGCCAGGCTGAACTGTCTAGTGAGACCCTGGCTCAAAAAGACAAAAAAAAAAAAAAAACAAAAAACAAAAAACCCTGAATAAAAAACCTAGAGTAAACCTGGTACAATGTTGAAAAACAGCCCTCTAAAGATTCAGAACCAAAAAAAAAAATCCCCCAAAAAACAAAACCACAATCCATTCCAACAATGAGAAGTACATTATTCCCTCTGTCAAGGGAGGCTCCACTAAGCACCAATCTTGTGTCTAGAAGAACATGTGCCACACCGAGGTGCTATTAATAGCTGCATGCGAAGGAGATATGTTAGACGTATTAACTAGATTCCAAGCCATGCTACACGTGTGACTCACTGTTGAGCCCTTTCCTTTCTAAAAACTACAAAGTCTGATGGGCAATTTACTAGGATGGCCCTTCACAGAGGAAGCAGAAAGAAGGGGAAAACCTAAGTCTATTACATGACTTAATTTAGCATCTTTAAGGAATGAGTAGTCTCTGTTAAATCAAAATTCCAGCAAAGTTAGCTCATGCTGTACGCTTTCAGCCCTTTGCCCATAACCACCAAGGGAGAGGACTTTCGCCAATAGATACATGATTTCTTTTTAAGGAGGCACTGAACATAACTGACCTCTTGATAACTGGGGCACTGTATTTTGACAACTGACGTTAGCACGATGGTCCGCTTTACGTGGTACATGTGGCCACTATAGACTGCCAGATGACAAACCTGGTAAGACTGGACCGGCTGAATGAAAAGCCCACCTCCTCCGAGAAGCAGCTGGTCGGTCTTTCTGGATAAAAGGACCGTGTCTGGGGCTGGGGATTTAGCTCAGCGGCAAAGCGCCTGCCTGGCAAGCGCAAGGTCGTGAGTTCGGTTCCCGGTACCAGAGAAAAACCAAAAAAAAAAAAAAAAAAAGGACCATGTCTGAGCATGCCGGCTTTACATGCTTACCCCTCCTCGAAGGGAGGAAAGCACCAGTTTATAAAGCACGGATTTCAAGGGCAGTATTTATCGTCTAAAAATAAACCGTGTTGTGAAGAGCTATATAGGAAGATTATCTGAAACATTAAGAATGTACTTCTGGCTAGATTGTGTGTATTTTAGAGCATGACCCTACCAAACTAGAAGCACTATCAACAAAAATATATCGGGAGCAATTCTAAGTTAGCGTAGGACTTGTGTTTGGCTGAGATCTTAGAAGTCCCATAGGCTGCTCCAGTGCCTAATAGGTTCTCAATAAAGTGGTATTTTTTATTGTCTTGGTCACAGAGGTGCTAGAAGGTTCTTTCTTTTTTTGAGACAGAGCCTCACTATGTAGTTCAGGCTGGTCTTAAGCTAGAAGGCTCAAGAAAGACTCTATTTCTTTTATCCTGCAAAATATTCTCAACTGTATTAGGGAATGAGTTTTGAGTAACATGTTTTCCAATTTTAATAGAAAACCAGGAGCAAAGGCTAAACTATAGTTACTAGCAAAAGTAATTGTTTCTACTTTGGGGCAGGAATAGAAGTTATTAAATGTGTGATTATTAAGCTTGTTATTGTACCTGACTGTAATTATTTTTATAAACCCAAACCAGGAATGTTAATGTCTTATTTTCTGTGTGGTATCCAGTATCCACAAGCAAAATCACTGTCATGTTCTTAATGTATGTTACATGACACAGTTATCTCACGGACAGACATTAACAGACAAGGGTAATTCTAACTGAGCACTAACTACTGTAATTTTTTAGGTTTAAGAAAAAGTAGGCTGCATTAAAGATAGGGGTAGATGGAAAGCTTGATGGTTATTTTGCAGAGTGTGACAACAATCTACTCAGGTCCCACTCGGACCCTGCAACTCAACTCTGGAGCAGAGAAGGAGTCTGCATTTGGGTCCCCATCTCCCCTTCCCAGGACTCCCTATGCACTCCCAGCTTGGAGGCTGCAGTGCTCTACTTCAGAGATCTGAGCGCCCCAGATCAGTTTTTATTGGTTTGCTTCAGGAGCTGAGAGAAGACTTCACCTTTCACCCTAGTGCTCTTAAGGCTCTCTGGATCACCTGTGTCTTTTTGTTTTAGAACCGTATTTCCCTCAAGCAAAGTGTGGGGGGAGATAATTCCACAGCGAACAGGTGGAATTACCCCGAAAAATTTGCCTGCATTCTGATCCCTGCCTACTTCCCTTTGGATACCTGAGGGCAGACAGTCACAAATCTCAGGAATCCAAACCTTCTTCTTTTGTGGGGAGGCTGGGTAGCCCGGAGACAAAAGACTACTCCTTATCTGCAACAGAGGTTACATCCAACTAAGGTTACCTTCTCCAGCCAGCCCTGCTGGAGGGTAAGTAACTTCCAGGGAATCAAGGCGGTTTCCCCTGAGCTCAGTTAACCATGAGCATAACCTACTGTGCAAGCTCCTGGATAAAACACCAGAGTTCAGAGGGATAAAATAGTAGGAAAACAGATTTAACATGAAGTAGTTGTTTTCCTCCACTCAAGGTATAAGAAATACAAAATGTGCGAAGTATTTCAAATACTAAATATACACATCATCTCATCCCTCCCTCTCCAATTAATATCTCCTGCCGAACGCGGCTTAAAAACATGTCACCCAAGAACTGCTAAAATAAAAATGGATCTAGAGCAGAGGGCACAAACTGGCAGGCTTACAGGGTGATTTTGCCCAGAGAGAGGTTTTGTTTAGCTTGAAAAACGCTGGTGTTCTTCATTTGAATTAATTGCCAACTTAAAAAAAATGTACTTTTTACATAAGAACCTAAATCTCTCCATTCTCTTGAAAAAGAATGAGGCTGTTAAAACAGATGGTAACAACTGCCAGAAGCTTGGTGGCCGCTCTCTCTTTCAGATGAGCCCGAGTGGCAGCACAGACCCACTTCCCAAGCCAGGCCTTGAGTCAGTGCTCGCCCACTTGGCCCACACGGGGGATGGGTGTCCCATGCCTTCGGCCCAATGGACCGAGCAAATACCCACCAGCCAGTATCAGGCAGTTCTTCATGGCAGCTATCAGAGCAAAGGGGAGGAAGGTCACAACCAAAGTGCTGTATTATTTTTACATTTCATCTCCAAATAAGGTAAGTGTCCTCCAAGTAGATGCTAACAGCACCTGGGTTGGCCCAGGCCTAGCAAAGGTGTACTCTTACATTCTCCCTGCGCCTGCGCTCTCTCCCTTCTCCACACCGACCCAAGGCAGAGCAAGACGGAAGTAAAATTTGGCAGTCGGCATCCTTCAGCCCTGGACTCCATCACACCATCACTGACAGTTACCGTTACCTCATCACCGCAGAGACTTGAAGTAAAAGCTAAGCCTAGAACACCCCACATAAAGGAGGACCCCAAGCACCCAAAATTCTACAACAGCACATAGGCAATGTGCTTAGGAGGCTAAAAGTTAAGAGGTTACATCTGCTGAGTGCAGGGCAGGCTGTCTTTCCACTTTCATTTTTTCAGTAAATGAAGAGCCCTGGACAAACTACCTCAGATGCTTTGAGTTCCTCGTTAGGAATATAATAAAAGGACCTGCAGTGTAACCAGGGGATTTCTGTTTCAAAAGTAAATCATTACAAACCAAGTTCTTAACTAAACTACTGCTAAAATGTGTTAAATCAGATGAATAATAATGCCCTTGTATCTCAGCAATCTTTCCTAATACGTAAGTAAAATGCTAATCAAATAATTATGGCAACATAAGCCAAAGTTAAGCTCTTGGAGGCAGTATCCAGTCGAGGAGCCAGGAAACCTCCCTCTTTGAGGATCAACAGATTGTATATCCTGAGCAAATCCCCCTTCCTCTAGTTGGGAGTGGGACTAATTATCTCTCGCATACCTGTTCATAATGATGTAACATGTATAAATCACTTGGAGTTTTTGAGGAACAGCACGGTACATAAACAGGTCATGTCCACATTAGTCTTACCTCGTAAGACGCCTCAGAGGGACGAGGGCTTTACAGGTACCTGGTGAATACGAGCAAGCGCATCCCTTCCTCCAGTGAGGGAAGGAGGCTCACGGGACAAGGTTAAGAAAGCCCCGGGCGGCACCCACCTCTGTTCCGATGGATACTGGTTTTCAGGCATCATCTTTGGCATCTGCAGGGGCTGATGTGGTGGTCGAGGGACTGCAAAGGTTTGCTGCTGTGGTCCGGGTTCTGGAAGCGGATGAGGGGTGGGGGTAGGGCCCACAGCTTGGACTGGGCCAGCTCCGGGGGCATGCGCTGAGGAGGGCAGAGTTGCCTGAGGTGGGGGAAACAAGGAATTCTGATGGGTGGGTGACAGAGGTGTGGTAGGAGGGGTTAATGGCTTGAACCCAGAAGGAGGCTTCCTATCATAGGCACTGTAAACAGAAAAAAAGAAGGAACCATTAAGCCGTGCAGCCATTAGCCCAGTTACCAGGTCCAGCAGAACACTAGTTTGCAGCCCATTGTTGCCAGGAAATGGCAGCATTAACATAGTTAAATTGCTAGCAGCCCTGAGGGAATATCTGTACCTCTGGAAAGTGACAAACGCACTGCGTCACAGGGACTTGTTTAACACTTCTAGTGATTTTTCTCAGAGATAATTTTAGCCTCTGCTTCCGGTTTCCTTTTTCCCTCCTTCCAAAAGAATTCTCTGTGTGTCTGCATGTGTAGGGGTGGATGGGTGAAGGGAGAATAAAGCCCCAGGCACTCTGGTCCCCTTTCCAAAGTATTCCAGGGTTCCCAGGAATGGGTTAGAATCTTCCTGGAAGGTAAACTTCTGATGTAACATCCCTGGAATTAACAACTCTGCTCCTCCGCCTCAGGCCATGTGTTTACCTTCTACAGCAAAGAAATGATTTTAAAATTAAAGCTTCATTCCTGGGGCCTGGATATTCTTAAGTAAAGGGCACAAGCATGGGGCTTTTTGTATACTCTGATTTGAAGATTACATCCTTGGTGCTTAAAGTTCACATTAACATATGATAGGCAGGAAGAAGTATGTATTACCTGCCTCAAAGCCATAGACCAAATATCCCGTCTTCCAGGCCTTTCCCTGAGGAGGCTCAGTACTCCACAGACTTAGTTCCCTACAGAGCCACCCCACTTTGTAAGTTTCCCTTCTGTGTGCAGCACAGTGGCCCCAAGAAGAGGGAGCTACACGGACAGGGAGACGGTGACATCGCGGCGGGATAAAAGGGCTCGTCTGCGCTGAGTCTGCTGGGTGACACCTGCAATGCTCAGCCTGAGAGGTCTGGGCGACCCCTTCCGCCCCGCCCCACTCACCAGTAGTTGTAGAGGCACTTTTCTCCGTAGTTAGCACCGAGAGGCTGCTCATGGCTGCAGGACGACAGCTCAGAGGAGGGGCTGTGCAGCTCCCGCTTGATCTTGGTGGGAGGGGGGGCATGAAGCACCACTGCAGGGAGAAGGGTGAGGCGGACGGAGAGAGGAGGGTGATTATCGGGGTGCACAAGCTTCCTTCTGCGTGTAACTAGCTGATTGTTCTTGGAACTCAAGTCACATGCCAGGGAAAGCAAAACACACTCATAACCTTCCGTGAGAAGCCAATTAAAACCTCTGAAAGTCACACGGCATCATTTGACACTTTCTTTTTTCCATTTGACTCTTTCAATCAGCCAACAGGGGTTGTCCCATTTCTTTGGTCATGGGTTGCTTCCCAGAAGCTCTGAACTTAAATAAATGAGTAACTATAGGTAGACAGACAGGCAGACAGACAGATAGGAGCCAATGGGGCCTCAAGAAAATGTGGGTGGTGGTAGGATGCCTGGAGTTTCAGACATGAGGAACTGTTTCCAAGAAGGACAGAGCAGCCGAACATGGGTTGGCAGATTATCAAAGTTGAAACTGGTGCGGCAGGTCATTTCTTGTTCAGCTGTATACCTGACGATTAAATATGTAATTAAGAGCAACAACAACAAAACAACTCCCTTCAAGTAACTCTAAATTTCAGCTCTGAATAAGAAATATTCAACTTCAGGGGTATTACAAAAAATTTTTAAAAGCAAACAGGCCAAACCCACTGGCTGCAAAAGGCCAATGACTGGTGCACATGACGTCTGCCCTCAGCCTGTGGCGGTGAGCAAAGGTGGGTTTCCACGGCCAGCCCTATCACAGAGTCAGCCACCGTTGGAATGGAGCTGGTCTGGTCTGCTTAAACTCATGTTGCAGTTGTACTCCAATTTTAGCCAGGCATTGAGAGCTGGTGGAACCTTTCAGAGGTGCTTGGGTCAGGAGGGTTCCACCCCCAGGAAAAGGTTTGGTTCTAGTGGGAGTGACTTTGCTGTCCTAGAGAGTGGGTGGTTATAAAATAAGCCATCCCTGGGGCATCTTTCACAGACATTCCTTTATCTTTCTGTTTTTCTGCCCCATTATAAAGCAGCACGAACACAACATCAGGTGCTCCCCGGTCCCCAGAAACAACAGCCAAATAAACTTGCTATACTCTATAAATTTTCCAGTCTGCAGCACTCTGTTACAGCACCAGAAAACAGACTAAGGCAGTGTCAATGAAAGCGTATGGAGCAGTTGCTCTGTTTGGAAGCCAACTACATATTCCATATGAGATTTTGGGAGGGCAAAGAATTTTTCAAGTCAAGATGACTCACATACAGTGGCTAGAAAAAAAAACCCAAGGAACAAAAAGCTAGGTGTGCCTCTTTCAGAGAGGGCCCTTTACCTTTAGTAGGGTGACTCCTACTAAGGATGCTGCCCTGTGAGGGGTGTCTTTCTGGCTTTGAGACTGAATGGTTACTATCTCTGCAGTACCTTGGCAGGCAGGGAAGACAAGTTAACCTTCTATGTGGCCGCTTCCCCCTGTATCAAAGGTCTTATTAAATAGCTCACCACAGTCAGTGCCCCGGTGACCCATTACAATTTTGTTTGACTCACTGTTTACTCCTAAAACACTTTCAAGGAGTTTCGTTAATTTTTAGTGGTTATACTAAGTAGAAATAGGCACACAATCATCCCTTTTCCATCTGATAAGGATGAACAATCTGAACAGTGAACTGGTTTCTCCATGTCCCCAAACCCCAGGCTCTGGGGTCATTATGAACACAGGAGGTGGGCGGACTCTGTCACTGACGACAGGGTTACAGAGCTAACTCCTGCCAGGGACTGAGAGGAAAGGACTGGTTTCCCTAATCCCTTTCTTACATAATGCCAACTGCTTCTCCAGAATACACGGAATAAGCTGAGAACTAGCAGATTATATTTAGAAGTCTAATATTAGAGTCTCTCATGGTTTTTTTTCCTCCCGATGGTGACATCATAGCAGCCAACATTCAATTGTTATCAAATGTTTTCAGATATCCAGATATAGGAAGTAGCTATACTTGTTTGAACGTTTAATGAAAAGGGCGAGCCGTATTATTCGGAGAAAGCCATCCCTCCAACACAAGGACTATTCTCAGCATGGTGCTGGTCAGTTGCTGCCTTTCTGCCCACCAGTTTTCTGCTATAAAAGTTCTGGCAAAATAATAAGGAAACGTAATGACATCCCAATATAAACAACAGCTTCATGTCCTTGAAGAGTAGACTTTGCTTACTTTATCTAAAAATAATGATTACAATCACTGCTTTAGCTCAGTCTAGAAAGTTAATGATTACGGTACTATCCAATGTTATCGCTGCAGGTTTTAGAAATGTTTTGACATTTTCACATTATTATTATACAAGTTGCCAGCTCTGCTTAACACTAGAGCACAAACCACACTGTCCAGAAAGAAAAATTTTGTAATGGTTTCAGACACAGCACATAATATTTCAAAATGGAATCTAAACTGCCAGCAAATTCTGCTACCTTGGCTTATTCAAATCAGGACAGAACTCTTGGTGTACATCACACAACCTGGGCTCTCAGTTGCATAGTTATCTGCTTAGACATGGAACCTGACGTTTGATATAATAAAGGGGGTAGAGGGGCTGGGGATTTAGCTCAGCGGCAAAGCGCCTGCCTGGCAAGCGCAAGGTCGTGAGTTCAGTTCCCGGTACCAGAGAAAAACCAAAAAAAAAAAAGGGGGGGGGGGTTAGGGTTTGGGGATTTAGCTCCGCGGCACAGTGCCTGCCTGGCAAGCGCAAGATCGTAGGTTGGATTCCTGGTACTGGAAGAAAAACAAAACAAAACAAAACAATAAAGAGGGTGTTCAAGAAGTACTGGATATGTGAATGAGTGGATCAGATTTCCAACTAGTTTTTATTGTTTTGTTTTGCTTTTTGTTTTTTGTTTTGAGAGAAGGTCTCACTGTTTAGTGTAGGCGCCTTAAACTTACTATGCAGCCCATGCTGGCCCTAAACCCAGTGATCCTCCTGCCTCAGCCTCCTGAGTAATGGGATCAGAGACATGCACTACCATGTTCCTAACCTTCTTCCTTGAAAGGTAGAGGCCTCGTGCACTTTATAAGGCTAGGCACAATATTAATCATAAATAGTATTTTTCCCAAGCATAACCATTTTAAAGAGAGAAGAGGATGGAACACAGCAGGAACATGAATGGAAAAGTCTCACTGATCTACACTGAGAGCCACTCCAGGGGCACTGTACACAGTAAGGACGAGGCTGAGCACCCCAAAGTTCTGCTGTGCTAGAGGACATGGGAAGGACCCTAACTATGCTTGGTGTCAGCCAGGGATAGTGGTGCACTTAAAGCAGAACTCAGAAGCCCAAGGCATGCTCCTGGCTTTCAGTCTGTTTCCTCATTTGTAAAATGAGGTATGCGATGCTGCCTTAGAAAGAGAGAAAATGGCACAGCACCTTGCAGATGGTGCTATGATGTTGCATAATTATACCCTGTGCTTTCAAAAATAGAGAACTTTTTGCACAGCCAACTTACTGAACGGTGACAGAGGCCTAGCAATATAAAAGATGGCAATGAACTGGAAGGGTAGAGGAATCAGGAACTCTCGAGGAAGTTTGAAAAGAAATGCTTCAAATGTTCACTACTGGGCTGATAAACTTCTATAGTTAGCATCTTTGCATTTAAACTCAGAGTTACAGAAGGTGGGCTCATACTTTCCAATGATGATAAGCCACCTTCTTTGTCAGAAAGATCCCCCCACCACCTTCTCTGAGTATTGTGTGTTTTTTAAACTTTTCATTCCTGAGGAACCAACCCAGGACCTCCCATTTGCCTGCTGAGCTAAATCCCCAGCCCCTTGGAGTATCTTTTACGACCAAGTGAGCTGAAGGTGCTGGGGATGTGACACAAGGTCCTTCCTTCATTGCATGCATAATTTAGTGAGAGATTTGATTTTTTCGCATCTTCTCAGAAAGTAGTTAAGAGATACACTGAGGCCTCGGCACACTTGATTCAGACCCTTCCACTCACAGCTAAGAATCCTGAAGCCCAAAGGAGCTGAAGAATTTCCCAAGGTCTTGTGAGCTGCTATCAGAAGGGTGAAGAGATGAGAACCCCCCACTGTCAGCTTTAGCAATCTTCCACCACACCACACCACACCACACCACACCACACCACACCACACCACACCACACCACATCACACCACCCAGGAGATGGCCCATTCACCTACTTTGTACACTGAAATTAGAAGCCGTACACCTGGCTTCAACTCAAAAAACAAAAATACCACATGAGAGCGCTCCAAAATGAAGGGAAAGTGAAGAAGAACCAACACCTCGGGGCTGGGGATTTAGCTCAGCAGCACAGCACCTGCCTGGCAAGAGCAAGGTTGTGAGTTCAATTCCTGGTACTGGGGGAAAAAAAAAAAAAGAACCAACACTTCTATAAAGGAACAAGGGAGATGCAACAAGAGGCCGCCAGATAAACCCCTTACCATTCGCTTGGTGCCAAATTGCCCTTATATACTGTTATGGTTTAAACATGAAGCGTCCCCCAAAACTCACTGGGGACTGATCCCCAGAGATGAGCCTAGAGAGGTGATTGGATCACAAGTCCGATAACCTCATCAGTCCACGGATGAGTTCACAGCTGGTTGGGCAATAAGGAGGCAAAGCCCTGTGGAGGAAATAGGTGTGGGGGTGTGTCTCGTCCCTGGCCCCTCCCCCCATCCCTCTGCTTCCCAGCTGCCACGAGGTCCGCAGCGCTCCTCTACTTCACCCTTCGACCATGATGCTTCTGCTGTAACACAGGTCTACATGCAATGGACGAAAATCAGGAGCCAACATAAATCTTTCTTCCTTTACAGTTTCCCCCCACTGATTCTGTCACAATGCCAACAAGCTGACTAATACACACACTTTATTCAATCTCCCCAACCCAGTGGGGAAATTACTTCCATTGTCTTCGCTTACAGACAGAAAAGTAAGGCTCAAAGTGCTTTCCAGTCTCAGCCTGTAAGTGGCAGGGATTTCTCCCCCAGCAGGTCTCGGTTATTCTCATATTGCTTCCCCGGGGGAATCTCAGAAAAAAGACTGAATC